CTGTCAGTTGTGCATAGAGTAAAGTTTACTCGTTCCAGTCGTAGGCATCTATAAAAGGTTATTTCATGACTCACTGTCACTCATGGAGCTGAGCCCTTCTTGAGAAGCTGCTAATTGTGCAGCTACTCAAGGAATTCCCAGGATTTAATGGAGCCCGAAGGTTCATTACCGTGTTCACAAGAGCCCTCCACTGGTCCCTATCTTGAGGCAGATCAATTCAATCCATACCATCCTGACCTATCTATCTGAGATCCATTTTAATATTGTCCACCCATCTACGCCTTGGTCTACCTAGTGATCTCCTTCCTTCCGGCTTTCCCACCAATAACCTATATGCATTTCTCCTCTCGCCCATTCGTGCTACATGCCCTGGCCACCTCATCCTCTTTGACTTGATCATTCTATTTGGAGAAGCGTACAAGTTATGAAGCTCCTCATTCATTACTGGAATGTTATAAGTATATATAGGGAAGGTTCGCTCAGGGCAGTGGCAGAAGAACTCTCAAAATCTAAGTTACATTTAATGGGAGTACATGAGGGCAGGACGGATTATGTAATGACTTCAAAAAGAAATTTCATCGTTATTCTTCTTCGATTTAGAACAGATACGTGTACAAACACATTTTACATCCTGTAATGTCACTCCAGGCATGTACTCTCTTCGCTCGCTTGGAAATCGGGATCGTGGGTTCGAATCCCACTCAGGGCATGGATGTTAATTTGTGTGTGTGCGTTTTTCTGTGTTTGTGTACAGGTAGAGGTTTTGCGACGAGCTGATCACCCACCCAAGGAGTCCTACCGAATGTGTAAGATCTAGAAAAACCGAAGTGAACGGAGAAGTTCATGGAGGTTGGCCTAGGCCCACTGGGGCTGTAGTGCCAAGAAAAAAAAATATCACTTCATATTTACTGTATGTCATGCCTGGAATGCACGCCTCTCAGCAGTGGAAGTAACAGAAAGGGAAAAGCAGCAAGTTTCAAGTCTCCCAATAAAGCTAAGCAGCTGACTACAGTAGAGGCGGTAGGGGTGCGGTTGCCAGGGTGTGAAACAAGACTGAGAGAAAGCGAGAAGGTGTGATTGTGTCAAAGGGCGCCGTTGCATTACTACAGGGCCTTATCAGCGTAAAGGGCATTGTCGTAACCCCAAGAAAAGTGGAAATGTAAGTCCCAGTGAGTAATAATATTTGTAGGAGCCAAGTTTAAATGTATCACGTTTACCCCTCAACTAGAGAACTTCAAGGACTTGAGGTTGGTAGAAGAATTGTACGATATAATTATAGCAGAGTTATTAGTTAAGGTTAATTATTCTCTAGTCTTAAAACATTTTATGTCTGACTTCGAAACGAGAAAGGAGACGATTTTAAATACTCGACATATTTCTCTCTTCCCTTATATTTGTCTGGATGAATCGCTGACATTAGCTGGCGTGGCCGTTCAAGTCCGCAGTACACTCCTTTACGGAATCGAATCCCGAATAATGAATAGATTTGCATGTATATTTCAATTATCATTAATCCGGCTAATAACGGTCGTTGGTCTTCTTCTGGGGGAGGGGGGAATTCACTGATGTGCAGGTGAAATGTAAGTCTAAATATACTTNCTGGAACGCCCTGCCTACAGCCCATATCTCGCCCTTTCCGACTATCATCTCTTTGGACGGCTCAAAGATGTTTTACGAGGTTTTTGATTTTCTACGGGCAAAAAAGTGGGGGAAGCGGTGCATAAATTGTTACGCAACCAACCGAAAATCTTCTTCGTGGAGGGAATACACAAGCTTTTGGACCGCTGGACCAAGTGCATCGAAAAGGGAGGAGACTATGTAGAAAAATGAAGTACTTGTTCAACCCCTACTTTTGTATATATGGATTGGAAAAATAAGAGTGCGGATAATTTTTTACTTCCCTACGTATATATATCCTTCCGAAGATGCTCTCTCAGACCGAAACATGTCAAGGGTGAAAGATTAAAAAGGAAGAAAAACATTTATCGGTCACGCTGGATGGAGTTGATAAACTTTTATAATTCGAACAGTTATTAAACTGAGTACAATATTTGTAACATATTTTAATTGAATAGGAAACTTCCAACTTTCGGAGAATGTAGAAGTAAATTTCAGCTGAATTCAAATGAAAAAACGACAGAATATACACTGCAAAATGGATCACACATAATAATAAAAAAAAATGTTTAAAATAAACATTAGAATAACAGCAGTTACGTGACGTCATTAAATTAATTTATGGTAAATTGGTATATACATGAGATTTTGGGTAGAAACGAGCCGAAGTGTGAATATCAGAGACGTTTTTGGTTCCGAAAACTGCCACGAACCTCCAAACGGCGATATCTCGAAGTTCCCTATTCTGCTAACAGAACCAGTCGTAAACAAGTTGCTGCATCTCAGCGTCCCTTCAGCGTCCAAAAATATGGTAATCGCAGTGAGGGGGGAGAGTATCTGGATTTGACAGTTGGTTTTCCAGCACTTACTGAATGAATTCAACGCAAAGATACCGCCTAGCATGTTCCTTTTGAAATCCATTTCCGGCAACCTCCCTCCGGCAAGTTTCCCTTTTTTAAAACACAGAAACTCTTCAATAGACCAGCGAAGTGTGTTCAGTATATTACAGCTCTTCAAGCATTGCTAGGACGATTAGCTAAAGCAGATGTAATGGGTAACAAATATAGCTCTCGTAGCGAAATGAGAAATGCATACCGATTTTTTCATGAGATCTGAAGAGGAAAAGGCAACTGAAAGATCAAGGCAGAGATTGCAGAATAATATTAAAGTGTATCTTAAATAAGTTAGCATGTAAAGACGCTGAGTAGATCTAACTGAATCAGGTGTCCTCCTGTGGGATAGCTCGGACTCCATAAGATACGGACAATTTCATGACCAACTGAGTCACTGCCAATTTTTCAAGAACTCCGCTCCACAGAGTTCATTCGTTATTTCATCATGTCGTTATTTTATTAATAACGGAAATGTTCTGCTGGAAGTTTTACAGTTACTTCAGGCCCAAAAAGCATCACCCACACTGGCGAAATTACAGGCTATACGACTGTATGTATCTCACCAAGTTGTAAATAGAGCGTTCGTAGTTGCAGAAAGCACAGTAAATCACACGCGACGACGTACAATCCTTCATGTTCTTAGGTTTACAGAGACTTCAGTTCTCTCTCATGTTCCCCATACATTTCGCTCTTATCTCACGAGTCCACGAGTTTCGTTGTTATTGCATCCCTCGTCCGCGGATGTATTAAATTTATTTTAGTTGAAAATATTTGTATACATGAGATAAGGAAATTCATTTCATAGATTTACATAATCACTTAGTCTTTTACATTTTATAAATTAGTCCCCAAAGTTCTCTCTGTTTCTTCGTTTCCAGGTTCGTTGCCAGAAGAAAATATAATAGTTTTGTGTGGTATAAAAAGCGATTCATGTCTAGTGCTGTTTGTTATTTCGTAATCATGTAATGCATAAAGTGATCATTATAGGGCGAATATAATATAATATAAATAACAGTAATCTACTTAGAAGATAATATATATGAATCACTCTTTACTTTCTAGGGGTTATTTCAGAAAGCCTGGTGAATTATGTTATCATACTCATAATATTGTCATAGCCAGAAGCAGTCTACTTCTTTTTTACATTTTACATTTAAAAATATCCGGGTTAAGAGAGGTACCTTCTCTGTGAAGGCTCTAAAAGTCTATCTACTCATTCATTAGTTGCTCCTTTCCAGAATATTTCATGGTTATCACTTATATGACGAATATATCCGCTATATAAGGAACTTCTAAATAGTATTTGCTCTATGAAATTAAATTTTAACTTTATAACTGCTAGCCCTTAATAACCTATATGAAACAAATTTTGGAATAATTTCTTCAAAATACCTATTACCCCATCATCAATTTCAGCTTACAAATGGTGTTTTTGATAAAATAATATTTAATCAACCTAATACCTAAACCATTAAGGGGATGTATTTCAGTATATAGTTCCAAAAACAATCCTCATAACGTGTTCAATACAGGAGCGCAGGCGAGCAGTGCAGTCTGGCTCTGATGGGAATTCTGTCAGATTCACAGCCTGACGTGCTAAGAATTAGAAAAGTTCTGTATCAGAAATGTTCTTTTTACTGCTTTCCCAAGGGAGTATTTGAACATTCATCTTGACAGCAAGCTTGAGGAATTGAAAACTTGACTGAAACCTGGGGCAATCATACGCCATCAAATTACTGACCACAGCAACATCAGATAGTTTCAAAAACGGATCCTGTATAGGGAACCGAAGACTTTGCTCCGTAGGTGTGTGGTGTGGTTAATTTTGGTTGATTTATTACTGCGTGTTTTGTTCTACTATGACAGTAGGATTTGGTCTTTTGGAATCCAACTCTCCTGTCTATTATGTACAAGCTAAAGTGACGGAAGCATGAAAAGGATTGCTCATGTCCTTCTAGAACACTGTTCTAGAATATATTCAGTTCCATCACTACGCTCCCTGTGTATGAGGAAGTTCTAGTCACACGGAAACATTTCCCTATGCCTGTGGGATTCTCCTATCCAAATTTTAAGGCACACTAAAAATTTTTTTAATTCGCTTAGTGGGGGGTGGAGTCCAACTGGGTCCACTCGCCACGGCGGCCACTGATTGGCCTATTGTAGCCTGCCCCGGATGATTATGATTATGGAGAATTTGGTGGAATGAAGATTGGTAGGGAAAACCGAAGTACTCGGAGAAAATCCGCCCCAGCGCCACTTTGTCCACCACGAATCACACTTGACCAGACCCGGGATCAAACCCGGGCTGACGCGGCGGGAAGCCAGCGACTAACCGCTTGAGCTATGGCGCGGCCTTAAGGCACACTAAATCAAATACATGTATATATGCTTATGTTCCCCTTTGAATTTCACTTAAGTGTTTTCCATGAAGGCAGTCCTTTCATGTTGAAGGTCCAATTTTGATCATAAGTTATTAAGTCTCAAACAAACCGTTCAGTGTTAGAAGGATGATCAAGCAGGCTGAAAACAGCCGTTTCATGATGTCATCAGCCGACGAACCAATCANTGTAGAGCAATTGGTGGAATGAAGATTGGCAGGGGAAACCGAAGTACTCGGAGAAAACCTGCCCCAGCGCTACTTTGTGCACCACAAATCCCACTTGACCAGACCCTGGATCGAACTCTGGCCGCCGCGGTGGGAAACCAGCGACTAATCGCTTGAGCTATGGCGCGGCCAAATTTCAGACTAACTATAAATAGTAAATAACATATAGTTGAAATTATTCTACAGTAAATCATTTACTTTAATGTTAAAATTTTAGTAGGTATTGCGTTTTCGCAACACATATATTTATATTCATTCATAATGTACATTTTATTCAATATACTTTTATATTGCACATCATGGTTATCAGATGAACTCAAAATTTATTCTTCACAGTTTAATTCGCTATTATTATGAAGTTAAAAAGAATAAAGAAATTAATGTTTACTCACTAGACGACAGGTGAATGCATTTTGTAGGTTTGGATTTATCTCACAGATGGCAGAGTTGGATGACATGCTCACTTGGTTGAGTCATTGCAGAAGTAAGTGGAGTGCGAAAAGTGGTGAATAGTCCAAAATATAATTATTTTAAAACCACAGCTCAGATTTTATGTTTCAGTTCTACAAGTTTGCTTGTTTAAATGTATATGTTATATGTTTTAATTTCGTAACATCCACCACACATATCTGAAAACAACAAAATTAAATGAGTTTTAATTTGATGTAAAGTTTCATACCGGTAATTTCTTATTTAGCATGTTTAATGACCATTTATCTTAGAAAGTTACAAGATCTTATTTAGAAACTTAACAAATGGGTGAAATATTAATATAGTATTCAGAGAGAAATAAAGTTGGACTCCCCGTATTAACTTACAATAACATGCAGAGGAAATGTTTAGATGCTTGGATATAAAGAAGTTAATGTAAGATTTGAGGTCTTCACGGCGGTGACTATGAAGAAAGCAGTTTTCTGGGATGTGGCACCGTGTTGATGTTGTGTTAACCGACGTTTCGAAGGAACGTATCGCCTTCATCTTCAGGGAAGAAGGAAAATAAGAAAATCCACAAGCGAAGATGGAGATGATACGTTCCTTCGAAACGTCGGTTAACACCACATCTACACGGTGCCACATCCCAGAAGACTACTTTATTCAAAGAAGTTAATGTTTGGCAAATTGTAATAGAACCATTTTCTATAGAGTTTAAAAGTGAGTATGAAGGGACTTAATTTATCAAATAAGCGTTTACCGTGGTCCTGTGTGTAAGCTTCATCCGAAAGATGTTTTCCGCGACCAAAATCGAAGAATCAGATATTACACAATCAAAAATAGTGGTTATTATTAAAACATATGATTTCACAATACAAGAATCAATTAAAATGTATAATTTTATTGAATAAAACATGTATATGGCCAAAAGTAAATTTTGACAAACTCCTGCCGTTTCATTTCCCACTACGTTAATATTTTAGGTGCATCTCTCTTGTCAGTAATTTGCTTTTAAAATGTAAGTGAAGATACAGAGCGTTAATTTTCCACGTTACATATTTCAAGAAGATAATTATCAATATCATTGTTACAGGAGAGTAGATCCTACGTAAATTCAACGAATTCTCACTAAAGTCCCTGAAATTACATATGTCTTCAATATAAAAGAAATTTCAATATAAACAACGAATTAAATGCACTTATTTATAACTTGCTTTTACCAAAAACAAAGGCTAAATACAATCACATCTGAGCTCAAAAGTCAAATTATTAATATTCATGTTAATGTTATCATGTCATTTCCTTTCTTTCTTCCAAGCAGAATTTTACAAAAATATTTCCTCAGCCAAAATAATATATTATGTCATGTATACCCGTTGCTAGGCAACGGCTGCGAAACGAACAACTAGACAACGGACAGTGATCCGTAAACAGCAACAGAGGAACAGTGTTTTCTGTGCGGTCGGTACCGAGATGTCATAATAAGGACAATTAGTGAAGAGAGGGTGTGTTGAGTTGAGTTAATTGGTGAGTGACTGAGTCAGTCAGCCAGTGAGTTAGAGAACTCCTAAAGTTCAGTCGCTATGAGCTGTGCCTGAGGCCGGGAACAGTTCGTGAACCCAGAGGAAGGAGAACGTCCGGCGTTGGAAGCCATTATCAGAAGAATGGTGAAGACACAGCAGGCTGAGAAGACATCAATATGAGCTCTAGTGAACTGTAAAATTTGTGAATTAGTGAAGCAATTATAATTACGTGTAGTCACTCATTGTATCAAAGAGCCCAATAAATCCGAACATCATTCGAAAATCCGTCCTTAGTCAAATTCATACACGTGATAATATGTATCTTGCTCCTATCCTATCCAGATCCAACACTTCGTGTCATCCTAGATTTCATTACCCAGAAACAGAGGCGACCTCACTCACCCGTTCATGGAGTTGAGCCCTTCTTGAGAAGCTGCCAATTGTGCAGCTACTCAGCGTTTTATGGAACCTCGAAGTTCATTGCCATGTTCATAAGTGCCCTCCATTGGTCCCTATCCTGAGCCAGATCAATTCAATCCATAGCATCCCATTCTATTATCTAGGATCCATTTTAACATTGTCCGCCCATCTATGTCTTGGCCTTCCTTCCGGCTTTCCCACCAATATCCTATATGCATTTCTCCTCTACCCCATTCGTGCTACATGCCCTTCCCACATCATCACCCTTGACTTGTTCCTTCTAATTAT